CCCGGAGTCAAAGGAGGGACCCCTGCATGTGCCGGTCGGCCGTGTGTGGAAAAAAGGGTCTCTCGGTTATGAATTGTCACCCTGTATAATGTTTATGAATTTATTACCTTAAATTTTTTTTCAGGAGATTCTAAAAAGTTGTATCTACCTGCATGAAGCATCATCTTAACCTTAGTTGTTGATCCATCTGAATTATTGAATATCTTATCATGTGTACTCCTTTTAGAAAAAGGGTTCAACCAGCTACCTTCGAAATAAATTGCATTTAATAGCAAACACACAGCATCAGGGTTTGGCGGTTCGTTGAGAATAGTTGCAATTTTATTTTTTGTATTTTCGGAAACCCAGGAGTTGACTTTTTCTAGAACATTTTTTCCATTTTTGGTGAAATCCTCATTGAATGCATCGGCAGAATAGTTAGTTTGTAAGCTTCGTACAAAAGTGTCTTTAAGCTTGAATTTTCTGTTGGTCACAAGTAAATTACTAAACTCTAGAATGAAATTTTTATTTGTTTTATAGCTTTCTAACAGCTGAAAATAAAATAAAATTAGTAACAGTGAAAGACGAAAATGATAGAAACAAAATTATTAAGAGGAAATATTGCAATCAAATATGAATAATTACCTGTTTGATTATTTCAGAAATACCTCCATGTTGGTTATCAATTTTATCCAAATCTAGAACTTCTTTGATTTGTTTTTCTGTTTCACCAGCGGCTCCTTCCAATACCATACAATAGGCAATGATAACACTTAATGGCGACAAAAGTAAGTTGGTTGAATCAGATGCAGAATTAACTTTTTTCAAAAACTTCAATCCAAAATCAATACTAGGATTGCTTAGTTGAGACATTTTCAACTATGCAGAATATTTTAAAGCACTGTTATAAAGGATAATAAAAAAATTTAAATTTACGATCAATTTATATTTAAAAGAAACTAAAATAATGATATTTCGAATCTTTACAGTTCATTTAAAACTCACAAGGGAAGTAACCCAGCTGGTACGGGCAGATCAAAATGAACACCCGAAAA